TTGGATTCTAAAGCCATCAAAAGAATCAACTTTGTGATTTACTGCTACAATTAATAATTGTCTCAGTAAATGCCCAAACCCTACAGAACTGGTGCCCAGAGAGCCACTACATTACATTTTGGCTATGGCAACATTACACAGTATATTCAGGAACCCTCACTACAAAAAAGTTTCGGTAGAGAAGTGGGAAATGACTTACCTCTTAAATTAAACAAACAAAAAAAATCTTTCATGACCAGTACCTCAGCTTAACAGTTAGTTGAAGAATAGCACATACTGTACAGCAGAGTGTCACCTGTTTCATTACCTTAACGAGTTGTCACTTATTAGTTTTCCAACACCCCTTGCCTCTAACAGCAGCAACCTAGTATTTTTAAAAGGTTTCCCATCCCAGTACTGACTAGGAAAAGCCTAGCTTAGATTCTGAGACCTAAAGAAATAATGCTACTCAAAAAAGTAGACTCTGTGAAGATTACTATATATTACAGCAATTGTCAAAGTTAAGACAACTCCCTCAATAAGAAATGTAAGACCAGATGACAAAAAAGGAATACAAAAGATTATGAGAAACAGACATTAGGATAATTCAACATGTCAAATAGGAGTCAAACTAACAAAGTAACAATGCCAAGAAAGGTTTTGTGGGAATCTTAGTTTTTTCTTAGAGATTATATTGACAAATATTGTGGTTTTTGAGATGTGCAGGTCTTTTTCAATGTGGCTTATGTCAGTATTTATGCCTCAGAGATCAGTAAAATACTGAACAGGAAGGGTTTTCGATTGAGGACAACCAGTAATAAACCATAGCTCTCTAAAAGAACATTGATGCCTGTATCAAGTTTACCAGATACAATCTATACAATCTATATTGTATATAGATTTTTACCTATACAATCTACAAAGAATTTCCTGAAAGAATGTTCACTGGGACAGAAAGAAGTTGAACTTTTTGGCCACAAGGAGTAATGTTTCGTGTGGCAGAAACCAATCAGTTTATCTTAATCTTTTATCAAGACTTTCCTGAAGATATATTTACATTTTAGTTATAAAATATAATAGAAAACTGGTAATCCTAAGGAGTTTATGAACTGTATCTTGGCGTTGCAAGTTTTAGTGATCCCTATGTAAATTTCCATGTCTCCAGTATTATTTTATGATTAACAGGATGAAAAGCTGCAAATAAACCCAGAAGGAGAAGGATATTAAGTGGTCCAGAGTAAGAAACCGCCAACAAATCATTAAAAATCTTATCAAGGGCTTTTTCAGTTCTGTCTCTCTTTCTCAAACCTGATGGAAATGGTTCAAGAACTTCATGGGTTACCATATTTTTTGCTAAGAATAGCTAGATGAAATTTTTGGAACAATCAATTTAACTGCTATCTGTCTAACTGACCAATTGTGCTGAATGGCCTCCTTTTGTTTGCAAGTCTTCATATGCATTGTAATTTCTTGGTTTTGTTTTTCTTAAATGAAAACCATGACTCAGGTATAGGACACATTACTGAGAATGAGATTCACATTTGTCTGATATCATATTATTTAAAAATTGTAAAAAAAAAACAGATAACACATACCACTTTCTGATTGCCACCACTTCAATTTTCGATCTGGCTCAAAAGTTGTGATGATATTTTCAATTTGATGACTGTTGGGGTTGTTGTAGCGATTATATGGGTATCGAGAGTCACATGTAAAGCACTTCTGCTCATCCTGCACGATAAAAGAAATTACATTCTTTATGTAAGAAAGTTGTAGTATAATGATTGAAAAAAAGATTCAATTAAAAATAAATCAAAATGCTTAGAGATGATAAGATATACTAGCCATTTAAACACTAAATTTATAAGAAAAAATTTTTTGTTGCTCAATACTGTGAAATACTTGGAAATGAAAATATGGCATCACCATGAGCTCAGGAATGAAATAAAAACTGTCAGGATTTAGAAAAAAACAGAAAGCTGTATTTTTTTCTTCAAATACCAGTAGAAAAAAAAATGTGTAAAAACCTGTAACTATATGTATATAATCTTAGGTCAGTGCACATCTAATTTGAAAGTACAGTCAAGGCTGCTACAAAACTATAGTTTTTTGTAGAATAAATTGTTATAATTACATTTACTTTAATGAATAATGAAGTATAAATAATGAAAAAGAAATGTAGGTCTTGATTGCAGGACTCATGTAATCATGAGTATATATACTAGCACTATGGAATGCTATTGGAGAAAAGGTACAGATCTGAACAAGCCTTCAGAATGCACTGGTAGAATAACACCCAGAGGTCAGATTCTTGTGAAAATATGCATTCTTTAACTTCCATGAGAACAAAAAAAGTTGAAAATGTGAAGAATAAGTTTAGTGAAATTGAGTAAAAATGCATAGTTCATGAGTTGCCTCTTGTCTTTATGCCTTGATAGCCTTTCCATCTTACTGCTAGATCCTCGAAGACTGAAGTCATTAACATCATAGACTGATTCAATCATGCAGCGACAGTGTTATACTGAACTCTGACTATTTTCCAACCAAATACAAAAGTTTTTCAAAGCCAGTTGAGCTCAAGCTGTCCGTAGTCAGGGCTTTAACATAAGTGTGATTTGAACTGCTATATTGCTGATAGAATATCTATAGGCCTTACACACATGATGTCTTAATAATCATGCAGAAACATAGTACACTAAAAATCTGTCTTTTTTATCTAAAAAAATCACTTAATTAAATGAACCAGTATCTTTCCTAAGACTCAGTTATGATACTGACCTCCAGATATCCAATAATGCAGTACTTTTGTGGACCACTTAATCCACAGGTTGAAGATGCAGAGAGCTGGGCATTGCGACCTATCATTAGATCTCCAAGTGGAGGATGGCATGAACTGACACTACACTCTTCCTGAGTGTGAACTGTGGCCACCAGCACTAGATAAACAGAAGAATATTATTGTTATTTTCCAATATGTGAAAAATAATTCCTACGTTATTTAAGGTGTTAAATTATGTACATCTCTGAGATTACCAATGTAAAGTATGTCTAAGTAAGGCTGTTGGCTCATCTTTGTTAAATGAAGTTTGAAAAAGGTACAGTATATTGGATTAAGCACGAGTGTATTTATTATTTTTAATCAAATCGGCAAAGGCAAAGGACAGTGGTGAAGGATTATGCACACTTTTCAGAAATAAAATAGCATTGTAATTGAAACTTTGTTACTTCCACTCAAAGTATTGTTATAAACCATATATGTACTATATTGACATATTATTTAAAATAAACCTTTATCATCTGAAAAGGCAGAGTTAGCAAATGTATTACAACATACTTTATATGCAGGGATACTTGCAGTCTTTTTTGCAGTCCTACACAAATAACTCCAGCCAGTAAAAATTATACCATTGATTTTCTAAGCACAGAAAGCTGCTTTTTAATTACATTTACCCACATCTTAAATTTTCAGAGCTGCTTTCTTAAAACAGAGAAGTACTGTAAATTTCCCTTTTACATTTTTACATTCATCCAACTATTTTCTATCTTCTTTATCCAGTACAGGATTGCTGTGTAGCCGGGGCATATCCTGGCATGCAATAGGCACAAGGCATGATACACCCTGGATGGCACTCACAGACACAAACACACACACTCGCACCAAAGCCATTTTTCCAGAAGCCTATTGACCCACTAGTACAGTACAGTATGTCTTTGAAATGTGGCAGGAAACCAGAGTGCCAGCAGGAAACCCACATGAGCATAGGGAAAACATACACACTCATCACAAACAGCACCCCAAGAATTGAACCTAGGGCCACAGTGCTGCAATGAGGCAATGCTAACCACTGTGCCACTTTTCTGCTCAAGATTTTAAATATATCTATGGGTAGTGAACTCTTGTAATGTAGTCAACCCATTACACAGAATATGTAGGGTTTGTCGAGGCCTACTTTATATAAGAACTTACAAAAAATCATGAGCAGCTGTACTTCTGCCATCTTTAGTGTTTTAGAAGCTGAAATGTAGAAAGAAAAAAGAATGAATCCTGATAAATACAATAACACATTTTATGAAGACAGTCATGATTTTGTGGTTTTAACTAAAAACTTAAGCCATTAACTATAAGAGTTCCAAGAGAAAAGAAAGAATACAAAATGAAGAATCTGTTATTTTAACACAGCTATTAAAATAATCTGTATCATCTTCGTTACATGACTATGTCCTAAAACATTCTATCCCCGTCAAGCATAGTGTCTGTGTGAAAAAGAAATCTATCAGAAGAAGAGATTTTACTTAGAATGGAGTGTTCAGAAGGTTTAATTAGTGAAGAATCAGAATCAGACTTTGAAACTGACAGAAAACGTCAAATGAACTGTTATTTCCTGAGTGCATCTGTATATACAGTATGAGTGAGAAATGTAGAAACATATTTAAATGAGTACAACACACTTGGGCAATATTCATAAAGTACCTATAGTATACAGATATACAATAATCAACTATCAATAACACACAAAAATACAAATAAATATACTTGCAACTCATTTACTTTGTTTAAAAATAAATTAAAAAGCAAATTAATTTACTAAAAGTTGAAAGGGTTTTGTAATAAAATGTGACACACTCTTGCCAATATAGAGTATATACTGTAAGCCACTGCCTAATATTTACAGTTTCTCTATGGGACAGATGTGAGGGTAAAGAATGTAGCACTAGACAGAAGCAATAGCCTAGGCAATTGCAATGAAAGTTGTATACTTTCACTAAATGTGACTTCAGGGCACCACTTAATGTGTTTGCAAAAGCTGCTTCTCAGGAATCTTTCACCAGGTGCTGTAACTACCCATTTTACTGCTTGTTAAGTTCAATGCCTTAAGCTGAAATCACAGTGATATTCAACATTTTTAAAGACAAAATATGTATTCTTTTCAAATAAAAAGGCTTAATAGTGGGTAGGCATGCTGGTATGGCATGTTTAATGTTCTGTCTCACGACTCATGAGTTCTAGATACAGTTCTGGACTTGGATGCCTATTGTGTGAAGTGTATATGTTCTCCATGTATTCATGTGGGTCCTAAAACCTTTCAAAACATGCTGTGTAGGTTCAATGGTGTCTCTAAAATTTTCCATGTGCAGACCCTGTAATGGACTGGCGTCCCATTCATGATTTTGTCCTTTCTAGCACCCTATGCTTCACGGTTGTCAATACCCTTTCCAGGAATAAGCAGTTTACTGAACAGTTATTCTGATTAGTTTATGCCTCTTAACTGTAGCTGAGCAGCAGTTATCCACCACTTTGTTTGCTTTGTATAGAAAGAAATAATGTTGAATGCAAAGATATCAGGGGTTTGTGAATGATGTCCTTCACACAGCACCATAAAAATTATTTTCTTTATGTACTGTGACACAAAAAGTTATTACACAAGAATTTGGTACTTATCAAAAAATGTAATTAAAATACCATACATGGTTAATTCTGCTCTAGGAGGATTTATGAGTCTTAATCACATGCTTTCACTATTCATTTATTGTTCTTAAAATTAATTTGAACATAAATTCAAGTACTTGGTTTCCATGTTTGATTCCACAATTTATCAAGGAAATAACACATTTCTAAGCCTTACAAATGATACCAGTGGGAAAAAAATAATAAGAGAGTAAGGAGCTTTAAATAGGAGTGGACCAGTAATTTGAAGCTTTTTAATGTAGTGTTTTTCACTCCTGTAAAACAAAAATACCTAACACACTGTAGTAAATCAGATAGTTGCATAAGAGTTATAGAATTAAATAACAAAAGGAAATTCAACCCATTCCACTACAAAAAAGTAAAATGGTAAACAATAAAGAAAAACGAGAAAGAATGATAATACATTTAAACACAAACTAAACTCACACACAAATTATGCATTTTTAATCTAAAAATATTAATTTACAGGATTCCCTCTATGCTGGGCATACATTTTTAAAAGTAAGATGCAATACAGCAATATTCAAAATAATAAAGCATAATATATAAATATATTTAAGGTAATAAATATATTTTAATTCCGTTTAAATACACAACTATATATATACAATTTTCAACAATTCAACACTAATTTATGCAAATAATTAAAGGAAAAGTCTATAGCAAAAAATAAAATTAATGCTTAGCAATTTATATTTTTCTTTAAAATGTGCAAAAAAGACTCAGTGCTTTAATAAAATTACTTGTTCTGTGAGTGTAATTCTCACAATCTTACCTGTTTGCTGCGGTTAGTGGAATACTGACACTTGCTCAGAAAAAGGTGTTTCAGCATGTAAAGGCACAGCTAAATCCTGCTGAAATATAAAGCAATTTTTCCCCCTCAGGCTGTGTGGTGAGGAAGATAAGGTTTCTTTCAAATCTGACAACTACAGGTCTGATTTATGATTACTTATATGACAGTGTAAATGTATAGTATGTCAGCTCAGTACTGAGTGAAGATGAACAACTATTACCACCCCAAATTATATTAAAGTTAAAACCTAAAATGAATACATCAAGTAGATTAATATAGGGGCAACAGTGAAGAAGGGAAATATATTTATCTGCTCGGTACACAACACATTAAGACAAATGTAGTATAAAAAAATGCAGCAAGACTCACTCATTCGGCAGTTCCACTGAGGGTTGTCTGAAGACTTGAAGGAACACATCATCCACCTCCCCCTCGACTTTCCCTCTCTGGAAGCCTTCCTTTTCTGGATCGACAAAATTGATACCAGGCGAAGAGCTGACAAGCCCCTTCCTGCCGCCCCCTCCCCCGCCACAACTCTCCTCATTGGTTATGGCACACAGATGGGATCGTGGTCGCCGTCTGTCGCCAGAGGAGAGAAGCAAACGTCTTCGTGATGGCCGTTGCATGTACTGTGGCTCCTCTGACCACCTTCACTCTTTTTGCCCCCTCCAACCCCAAAGCCTTTCCAGCAGCACCTCATCTCCCAGGGTCACTATCGTTTCCTCCTCACATTGTACGTCCGGACCATCTCTTGCGGCAACCCTGTTGTGGGGAAAGTCTCACTTTGTTCTCTTGGCTTTACTCGACTCAGGTGCAACAGGGAACTTTATAGATGCCGCCATCGTTAAAGATCTGAAGATCCCCTGTGTTCCGATCCGCCGGACAGATTCACTGGCACACAGCCCCACTAACCCTCTTCATTGGTGCCACCCATCAGGAGACAATTCAATTCCTGCTCCTCAATTCCCCATCTCACTCCCTTGGCTTCTCCAAAACAACCCCCACTTCTCCTGAACCCGTAATGAGGTTCTGGCCTGGAGCTCCCACTGTCACGTGCAGTGCTGTATTTCCCCTGTCTGAGTTTCTGCCACTTCGACCTCTTCAGACCCCTCACACCACATTCCACTGCAATATTCTAATTCGAAACGACCTTTCTATAAACAGGAAGCCTCGTCCCTCCCCCCGCACCGCCCGTACGACTGCGCAATAGATCTACTCCCTGGAACCCTGCTTCCTAAGGGGCATATTTATTCAGACACCCTTGAGAAATATATATAGTAATCCCTGAAATCTGGTTTTATTCACCCCTCCACATCACCTGCCTGTGCCGGATTTTTTTTCGTAGGAAAAAAAGATGGATCCCTCTGACCTTGTATCAACTACAGGTGACTGAACAACCTTACCATTAAGAATTGTTAACCCCTTACTCTAATCCCAGCGGCGCTAGAATCAGTGCGGGGTGCCACTGTTTTTAGGAAATTGGACCAACGGGGCGCCTACAACCTGATCGGCGTTAGAGAAGGGGATGAATGGAAAACGGCGTTTATGACCACTCATGTGCAAAATTTGAGTATCTTGTTATGCCTTTTGGCCTGGCTAATGCTCCCTCTCTTTTCCAAACCTTTATGAACGACATCTTCCTGGATATCATTCATAAATACATCCTGATTTATCTGGATGATATCCTTGTCTTTTTAAATTCCCAGCAGGATCATGTTCTCCACGTCCGAGAGGTCTTATCACACCTTGTTCAGCACAAGCTTTATACGAAATTAGAAAAGTGCATATTCCACATTTCTAGAATTAAATTCCTGGGTTATGTTCTTTCTCCTCTTGGTATCGAGATGGATTCTTCAAAAATTACAGCCATCACTGACTAGCCTCATCCTAAGAACCTGAAACAAATTCAGCGATTTCTTGGGTTCGTCAACTTTTATCGACGATTTATCCGCAATTTCAGCTCCATGGTTGCTCCCTTCACCGCCCTCACCTGCAAGGCTTCTAACATGGGTTAATGAAACCAAGAAGCCCACCAATCCTTCCTTAGGTTGAATCATCTTTTTACCACAGCTCCACTTCTCCGACACCCTCTTCCTCCTTACCTTTTGTGTTCGAGGTTGATGCTTTGTGTTATGGTGTGGGGGCAGTTCCTTCTGAAGACATGGGGACAGGGGCATTCTTCACCCCTTGTGCTTTTTTTAAGAAAAAAACTGTCTCCAGCCGAGATCAATTATGATGTGGGGAATCATAATCTTTTAGCCGTCAATCTTGCTCTGGAGGAGTGGAGACATTGGCTGGAGGGCGCTCAACACCCTTTTGTCATTATTACTGATCACAATAATTTATCCTATGTCCGATTGGCAAAATGTCTTAATTCCCGTCAGGTGGTCACTCTTGTTTTCCAGATTCTGTTTTGTAATCTCCTACTTGCCTGGACCCAAGAATGTAAAGGAGGACGCCATCGCCTAGCTTTTCAACCCTTCAGAACCTATCATCCCCGCCAGCATGATCATTGCGGTGATCCAGTGCTCCATTGAAGATCAGGTTAGATGTGTCTTGGCCGGTCACACGTTCCTCCACAATGTCCCCCGAACAAGCTGTTTGTCTCCAATCAAGTCCTGTCGGCGGTGTTACAGTGGGGCATCAACTTCCGCTTCGCCATACCCTGGATCTGATTTCCAGAGATTTTTTGTGGCATTCTATTAAAACCGATGTCGCCAACTATATACGAACTTGCTCGGTCTGTGCTAGGATGAAAGACCTCTGCGGTAAGAAGGTTGGCCTCCTCCAACCCCTCCCCGTCCCTGATCGTCCCTGGTTGCATATATCTGTGGACTTTCTTACCAACCTCTCGTTATGTCAAGGCAAGACTGCAATAATGGTCGCCGTTGACCGATTTTCTAAATCCGTACACTTTATTCTCCTGCTCGCCTTACCCACTGCCCAAGAGATGGCGGACCTATTCATCCATCATGTTTTCGGGCTCCACGGCATCCCCAGAGATGTGGTTTTGAATAGAGCACCCAAGTTTCCAGTCTTTTGAACTTCCCTGGATGTCTCGGTTTCGCTTACCTCCGGATATCATCCCGAGGCTACCGGCCAAACTGAGAGGGTTAATCAGAGTCTTCTGACATTTTTAAGAGCCTATGTTTCTGCCTCCCAGGATGATTGGGTACCCTTACTCCCGTGGGCAGAATATGCTCACAACTCTTTAACCACTTCTTCTACAGGACTATCCCCTTTCCACTGTTGAGTGGGATATCAACCCTCCCTCGTTCCAGATACCCCCTCAGACACTGAAATTCCATCAATCCAGGACTACATAGCCAGGCACCGGAAATTATGGACGGTAGTGAAACATTCTCTTCAGGAGACCGCTTGCCGATACAAAAGGGCCACTGACCGATGCTGCAGGCCCCTTCCCCGACTTTGTAAAAGACAATTTATTTGGTTATCTACTCTGAACCTACCGCTTCATCAGCCTTCCAGCAAATTGGGTCCTCGCTTTATCGGTCCCTTCAGGGTTCTCACTCAGATCACTCCCCTTTCTTACCGCCTGGCTCTCCACCAACACTACGGATTCAACCAACTTCCACGTATCCCTCCTTAAACCTATCCATAGGTTCCCCCCCCGTCAAACCATAACCACGTCCTCCTCCTCTAAGTCTCATTGATGGTCTCCCGGCTTTCACTGTTAACAAGATCCTTGACTCTAGATGGTTCCGAGGTTCTCTTCAATATCTAGTCCACTGGGAAGGCTATGGCCTGGATGAGAGATCTTGGGTCCCAGAGAAGGACAGCTTGGGCCGCGGCCTGATCTAGGACTTTCATTGCGACTTCCAAAAGCGACAGACTAGGACGTCAGGAGCTGCCCGTGGAGAGGGGGGGTACTGTCACGCCCTCACATAATCAGTCACGTAATTCTGATAAATGCTGGTGCATTACCACGACCTCAGTCAGTCAGACACCAGCCCTATCAAATTCCCAAAAACGACAGTGCACAATCTAATCATCCTATCACATTTCTCGCTTCTCACCGCACCTTCTATTTAAACCTTCCCAACCCTCACTTCACCGCTTGGTATTAAACAGTCAACTGCTTTTCTGAGCTCTTCACTCTCAAAACCTTTTTGCGAAACCTTTCCTCAATCCTCCTGGATAATGACACTGCCTGCCTTCCCGACTCCGACTTCAACTTGCCTTATTGGATTCGTTTCCTATCCGACCTGTATAGGGTTCATAACACCATTCGTGACACTGATCTGATGTAATGTCTAATGATTAATGTTAAGTGTCGTGGGAGACTGGAACACACTAACTAGCCATGTTATTGTAAACAAAAATGGCTGAATGGGAGATACTAGCAATCAAATTAGCTATATGAGTTGTATGGCTTCTCATTTGTAGACTCTTAAAATAAAATTTCTCCTTTCATTATTGTAGTACTGTTATAATTTAGAGCTTTTTATCATTTATAGAAAGTGAAAATACTGCACATTGGTGGTAGTGGAGGGGGTCCCCATTACCTTTAAAGCGCTTTGAGTAGAGTGTCCAGAAAAGCGCTATATAAATGTAAGCAATTATTATTATTATTATTATTATTATTATTATTATTATTATTATTATTATTATTATAATATTGAGTTTATTATGTGAACATATACGGTACAGTATAGTCTCCTTGAAGGTTTTGTTTGAAATAAAGGTTCTGCAGCAAATGTTCACAGCTTATCTTACCATTTGGTCATGTTTTCTGAGAAAAACAAAGAACAGAATAAGAGAAACAAATTGCAGACATACAAAAGTACCTATTTGTTTTGGCCATATCTCTTAGGAGACAAAACATTACAAAGGACTGCTAAGTTATTTGATCAATGCCTTTCAGAAGATTACTATACTAATTCCACAGTTTAAGAAATGTAGGGCATTTGAATTAAGTGTAAATAGTTCAGCCTGTCTCGGGTTAGCTTACTTTAAATCTTGCAGACAGACTTTTTAAGCTGTTATTAAAATAATGAAAGTGCTACATTACTGTTTTTTGAAAGGTGATAATGTAAGAGCTATGCTCTGTACTTCTGGAATGTCATAAACCATAGAAACAAAGTGTTCAGTTTTGAATGTTATTACCCTTCATATTATTAAACTGTAAACCAAAATAATCATGACTCTGAGAGTGTCTTGCTCTACTACAAAAACTGCAAATAACACCACCCTCACAACTCCCTCCATACATAAAGATATATAAAATCTACCTTTTCTGTATTTAATCTCTGATTAATATTCAAACATAGATTTGAATTTTATATTGTATTATTGTCTGGTATCTAATAAAATGTTGATGATTCCTCGGGCACCAAAGATGTTTCAGTTTTACCAAAACGCTGCATCATTAGGGTCTTTGTATTGTATAACTAAATGCCGTAACTACGCCA